GCGAGCCTGCCGCCCAGGGGGTGGGGCTGCCAGGCAAGGAGGGCCGTCCCAGAGGAGGACTGAGAGGGCCTGACTGATGGGTTACAGGAACCAGAAAGCTGGGAGCTGTTAGCCTGCGGGGTGAGGGATGGAAGATCAAAACAGACTCTAGAAACTGGGGAAGGGGGCTGGCATGAGGAGCGGAGGGCAGATTGGTCTTGGACATGAAGAGGGCGGGACATCCTGGGTGAGGCGAGACCACCACCGCCTGAGGGAGTGGACTCGTCCTGGGTGGCCCCAGAGGACGGGCCAGGGGAACCCTTCCGAGACCAGGTCTTCACCACCCAAGCCCAGCCTCCCAACTCGTCCCCCGCTTCCAGAGGTTTCTTTTCCGTTCCATTCTCTTCACTAGCATTTTCACCCAGGCTCTGCCTTCTTGGGAATGGTGATTAGGCCTGGAAGTCACGGCCACTGCCCGACCCCTTAGAATTTCATGGCTGGAAAGTCTTGTATTTTGTTCAGCCTTCAGCCCCGCCACTGAGTCCCTGTAGAAATTCCTAACGAATGGCTGCCCAGGCGCAGCCAGCAGCCCCCAGTGACAATGCCCAGGGCGCCTCCCTCCCAAGCTGCTGCCCCACGTTAAGCTGTGCCAGGGCTCCCTGCAGTGGAGGCTGTGCCCCTCTGATGCTCACCTCTCCGCCCAGGTTCTGCCCGCTGGGTCCACCGGAATGAGCCTGTCCCCCTGCTTCAAGCCAGCAGCCGTGTGGTTGGTGCTCCCCCCACTCACTCAGCCACCTTCTCAGCCTTCTGAACTTCTCATCTCCGCTGCCGTTTGTCAGTGAGTTTCTTCAAGGGTCTTATTGAGATGGGGGCGTAGAGACATGAAGCCTTTAGAACAGAAAGGGCCTTTGAACTTGGGAACCCACCTCATTTTATACACGAGGAAACTGAGGAGTTAGGTCATTTGCCCAAGGCCACACAGATGGCCCGGGACAGGGCTGTGCCTCAAACCCGTCACTGCTCTTTTCCTGCCGCTCACCGACTGGTGACGGGCCCAGGCAGGCAGAGGGCAGTCTCGGCTGTGGACGCCACCTTCTGGTGTCATCCAGGGTCACACAGGTGCTTCTTCGGGCCCCGCCCCATCCCCAGTGCCGTGTGGAGCTTCAAGTTGACTAAAAGCCCTGAATTGTTTTATTGATTTTCTTCTGATTGTAAAAGTCATATATGCTCACTGTACAAACATTAGAAAATACATAAAAATATAAAGTATAAACCTTCACAGCACTTCCTGATGCTGTAAAGTTCCCCCCAACGTGCACTTGGTTGCTTTGTCTTCAGCTGTATAAATAGGACTCTCCTTCCATCCTCCATGAGGCCGGACGTCTTGCTAGGTCCCAGCCAGCTCTCCTGTCTCTCAGAATTTTGTTTTGTTACCAGTTCTTGCTGGCACCTGGGCAGGGCTCAAAAAACTGAATGACAGCATCCGGATTGTCGGATTGTTGGTGGGACGGGTGAGGCCCCCTGCGGCCCCAGAGCCCACACCTCCTCTCTTCTGGGTCAGAGCCTCCTCTTTCCCTCCCTGAAACACCTCCCCTCCTCTTTTATTCTATTCAGACTCTCCCATTTTTCCAGCCCAGCTGAACCCCACCTCTTCCAAGAAGTCTTCATTCTTTCAAACGCAAAAGCCTCCTTTTTGGGTTCCACAGCCTTCGTAGTCTGGCCACACCATTTACCCTTAGTTATCCATTGACTTGCACTAATCTCTTCCCTCTGCCTGGCTGCTGCCTATTTCCCAGGCAGTGGAGGGTACCCACACCGTTCTCGTTTCCCTCACGGCACCCATCCTGCAGAGTCCCGAGATCATTATGGGCCCTCAAAATGTGACTGCTGGCCTGACCCTGCACAAATGAGACCCTGTCTGAGTGGTGTCCCGCCCTTGAGCCCTTCTGAGGAGTGGCTTAGAGGGAGCCCCGGGGACGCTCTCCCCACCCCCATCCCTGGCTTCCTGGAAAGCTTGCTCCCCCTAAAGTTTGCATAGCAGTTAATCATCTGGGTTCCCAACAATGGGCTCTGCCCATCTTGGGACATGTAAAAATAGGATTTGGTTTGCCTTTCACATTGGGAGGCTTCTAGAGATAAAGAGAAATCCTCTGTGCCTGGCTATTTAAAGAGACATAGGGAGGGTTAGGGGCCCTTTCCAGTCCTCTGGGCTTCACACAGGGAGCCTTAGAGGTCAGATCAATGTTTTCCTTTCTCCTCGCAGCAACAGGACAACCAACTCTTCTCACGCCTCCCGGGACATCTGCCAAGGGCCCGGGCCTGGCAGCCCCCTCCTCCATCCCTGGCGGGGGCGTGATGGAAAAACGCTGAACTGGGACTCGGGGACCAGGGTCCCCAGAGTGATCAGGTCTCCCCAAGCCTGATGGGTAGGTGATGGGCACGGCCAGGTAATTTCTAAGTTTCTCTCTACTTTGAGTTGCCTAGAGGTGCGAGGCCATCTGCCGGCCTCTCCGTCAGCAGTGTGTGCGTGCTTGAGCACAGACCCTGAGCCAGGCTGTCTGGTTTCTAGCCCAGCTCCACTACTAGTTAGTCATGAGACTTGGGGCCAGCTGCCTAACCTCTCTGCCGGGTGTGGGGAGCAGCCCCCATCTCGTAGGGTGGCTGGAAGGTCAAGGGAGCTAATATGCATGAAACGCTGAGTGTGCCTGGCCCAGAACAAGTGCTGTGCAGGTGTGACCATCCCTACAGCTAGGTGTCTGACCCAGAAGTGACGGGAATTTTGCGCCCTACTATTTAGGAATGTGGCTCTTCCTCCTGTGGTCCTGGCAAGGTGTGGGGAAGAGACTGGACCCCAAGTAACTGCACCCGCTGGAGGGGAGCCACGAGTCAGTCAGGCTGCAGGAGCCAGGGGAGGGCCTGATGCCACCATGAAGAGCAGAACATGCGGCCTTGGGGTCAGCAGGCACTGACCGCCCAGACCATGGGCAGAGGCCACTTGATCTAGCAGGCTCTTGACTTCAGGGCCATCGCTACCTGTAAAAGGGTAAAGCTTTGACTAGAATGCATCAATTGCTTTGATTAATTTCCCTGCAGGTGGAAAAACGAGGTCTATAAAACAAAAAAGCAGAAACACAGAAAATGATAGTCCTTTATTTAGATAGTTGAGGGGAAAGTTATAAAACAGACAGCACAGAGCTTTGTGACTGCCTCAGATAGGCAATGAACACAGAGATGAACAATGAACAGGCAATGAACACAGGGATACAGAAATGTAAACAAGACAAGGCTTCCAGAGAATGTTAGTTTATGCTATACACCTTCCAGAATACAGCAGCTCCCACAGACTCTAAAGTAAACTAAAGTGAGAGTCTTCCAGAACAATCCATACACATTCAGAGGGAGGTCGGAGAAGGCTCCTTCCCTGCGTCCGGGGACTGTGCAGATGCTGCTCTGTCCGGGCAGGAGAGGCCAAGGCTGGTTCCGCCTGGGCTTTGGCTTCACGGGGCGGCTTCACCTGCTCTGTTCTGTGTTCTCTTTCGAGTTTGCCTTCTCGTTCTTCAGCAGGGCTGGCTCCAGCCCCTGCCCGTCTTTCCCTTTTGACCCACACCCCTTTCGTGTTCTTAGCAGGAAGCCCAGCCAAGTCAAGGGAGCCTGGCCGAGTCCCTCAGGTGGAGCCAACCAGCCCAGGGGTGGCTCCCTCCTTAGGTGCTCAAGACCCAGCCTCGCCATCTGCCAAACATTCAGAAAAAAGGCTACAAATGTAACTTGTTAACCATCTAATACTGTCCTCCCTCTAGAAGTTTCTGATGTGTCTGGTTATTATTCTGTCCCAATTTTTTTGTTCCCGTCCTAGGGTTTTTGACTCTCCCAGGAAAAGAGCAGGCCTCACAGCCTGGCCCTGCGCTCTTGCTGTTACTTCAGGCAGTGGACTCTGGTCACATCACAGACTCATCACCCCAACCGGCTTACCCCTGCGGCCGCAGCTGGACACCCCCCACCCCGGATCTCCGGAATGGTGAGTTGTTCCGCAAAAGGTCTGTTATCAGGAGGCTCTCGGTCACCCTGAGACTTGCCTTGAAAGGATGTGGGAGGGAGGCAGAGACACGGGGAGGGAAGAGCAGAAGATGTGACGGCTGTCCCGGCAGAAGAGGGAGAACAGAGAGCAGTACAGCCTCCTCCAGGCAGGGCTGGAGGAAAGTCTTAGGTTAAATATCTCAGGAGGTATGAGAGGTGGGGCTGGGTCAGGGCAGCCACCCCAGAGCCAAGGCGCAGAGGAGGCGTGAAACGTCCAGGATAAATAGAACTGCGTGGGGAGGAGAGAAGCCAGCTCCACCCTCTCTTAAAACAGTCGCCATCGGCACCAAAAATATATTACTATCTGTACATATGTCATCTTTTAAAAAAGGAAATAAAACCTCCTTGGCACCTTGTAGTTGATTTCTTAAAAATGAGGTGATATATGGCAAGGCCTCCCGCGTGCGCGCACGTCCACGGCTGTGCACACGCGTGCATCTCCCTGTCGAAGAGCAGCGCCCCGCAGCGCCTCTGCAGCCCTGAGCGCGAGGAACATGGCCGGGCGGGCCGTTGCCAGCTCCTGCACAGCTGTTGTTTGCAGGGGTGCCCTCTGCCAGGGCGCCTGACTCTGCCGTCCACGGGGGACCAGCAGCCCCCCATCCCCCCGCTGCTCCAGAAGCAGAGGACAACAGGATCGCCCTCACGTACCTCCTCTGGGAAGGAAGTCCTGTCTCTGGACCCGAGCTGCTTCAAACTGAAGGCAGCCCTGGCCCGCCCCGCCCCGCCCCACACTTACACACGTCTGCCGGGGCTCAGAGCGGCCTCTGCCCGCCAAACACCGACGCAAATGCGAGCAGAGGTCAGCACCGGCCTGAGTGAGCACGCGTGCCCGCGGGCTCCAGGCCTGGTCAACGGCACTCCAGCAGGAGGCCGCAGAGGGCGGGCTGGCCGGGTGGCAGGGAGGCGGCCCTCGCCTTCTCAGGGCTGCCCAGGCCGGGGCACCACTGCTTAGAGGTGGTGACTGCTCTGCAGCAGGGAGGTGACGGTGTCCTGCAGGGCCATGGCCACCTTCTTGGAGGTCTTGCGCAGCAGCGGGCTGTCAGGGTGGCGCTCCTTCAGGTGCAGGACGTGGCCCTCCTGGCTCTCGGACGTGCAGCCACACTCCTCGCACACGTACAGCTTGGCCCGCCGCTCCTTGTACGCGTACTTCTGCTGCACGCCATGGATCTTCTTGAGATGAGACTCCAGAGAGCAGCGCTGCGTGAAGGCCTTGTCACACAGGCTGCATTTGTAGGGCCGCACTCCTGCGGGGAGGGCAGTGCTGGCATCAGGGACCCGACTCTGCGGCAGAGGAGCGCCCGGAGGCCCGCCCGACTCCAGCTCCCCAGCGAGCCGCGGAGGGCATCCGCCCAGAGCTCCCAGGCCCCCCAGGGCCCAGGACAGCAGTGCAGCGGCCGCGGCCACGGCCTCCGCCGGGCGGGCTTCTCTTACCGGTGTGGGTGCGCACGTGCCTCTTCAGGTCGAAGGTGTCATTGAAGCCCTTCCCGCAGTAGGTGCAGAGGTGCCTCTTGACGTCGTTGTGACACTTCATGTGGCGATTCAGCATGCGCTGGTACGTGAAGGCCTTCTGGCAGATGTGGCAGGTGAAGAGGTCTCCACTGGGAGTGTCCCCCAGCGTCACCTGTGGGCGAGGACGGGGCTTGTGACGGACACCCAGGAGTTGGGGCTGCAGGTGGCAGACTGCGAGGACCCACACACCAGCCCCCAGCCACGTGAGGAGGGCGGTGCCCACCCCAGAGGCCATACCTCTGTGCCGCTGGCTCCCAGAGGTCTGGTGGTGGAGCTGGAAGGAAGGTCCGCCTCCTGTTGGGCTCCTGAGTCTCTGTGCAGGGCTGCCACCCAGCCCCTTCCTTACCACCTCTAGAGATGGGTGGCCAGCTCCCCACAGAAACAGCCTGATTCAGTAACTCTACCTGTTAGAAAGTTCTCCCTTCACTGAGCCCAAATCTTTCTCTGTAGTTTCTGCCCTCTGTTCCCATTCTACGCCTTAGGACAGGGAAGAGTGCCCACGACGCGGTCTCCGTGCAGCCTTCCCAGGCTGAGGCCACCACTGGGAGCCTGGAGTCCCCTTGAAGGCCAGCCCCGCCCCTGGCCTTACTTGAGCCTGACGTGGTCTGGTCTGAGTCCCTTTGCCACCCTGATGACTCTCTTATAAACATTTTTCATTTTCTTTGTAATTATGGAACAGCTGTTCAGAAGTGGAGACGTGGTCTCAACGCCCTACCTCTGTGAATGTTCAGAGGTTACTTGTGCTTTGTGGTGGCCTTGTCGCTGGCCGCTCCTCCCGAGCTCCCTGGGCACCGGGTGCACCCCATCACCCCATGCCTCCTGGCACCGGGTAAATGCCTTGCTGCTAGCTAATCAAGCCCTTTGGGGTCAGGACTCGCTCCTCTGGCACATCTGCTGTCCTGTGCCCCCTGCTCTCTCTCCATGCGCTCCCTAGCCACTGGGATTAAGGGGTGGGAGGAAGGGCCCTCGCGGATCAGGGACACTGTGTCCGCTCCCCAGCCAACTGGCCAGCACATGTCTTGGCGATTCCCCTCTGGTTACAACATGTGGCCTCCGCAGGTAAGAGAGGCGGGAACAGCATTGCACGGCCAGTTTTCTTCAGTCTTTTGGCTCATAGGAAAGCTCCACGGGAGCCCTTCCCCTAGATGACTGCTTCCAGATCCCGGAGCTTTCAGGAATGCAGGCCCAGCCAGAGACAGCCCTGATGTTTGCACGCTGGAAAGCAGGGGCATTCCT